AATGCACTTTTCAAATTGATTGCCCATAAATATCATCTTGAAATCAAATTATCTCATTTCTTTATCTACTCTTTTACTTCTTTTCATCATGCCTTTAATTATTAGTTTAACAAATTACAATCTGTATATCTATTAACATCTTTGCTATTTTAAGATAAACAAGATAAATGAATAGTTTCTGGAATTCTTTAAACAAGTTATTCAAATCCTTTTTGTAATATTTCCAATTATTATTATAATTATGCTCCTGCTGGATGAGATGATTGCATGCCAGAAATAATTTATTTTTATTTTAATTAAATTTCATAAAACACATCAAGAATCTTATAAAATTACCCTTTTTCTTTTAAATATTTTTATATATATTCAAACATATCTATTTATTTATCAATTACATTTTTTAATTCTGTCTTTCTTATTTAAAATAAAAATCATCTATTTCTATAAAGTATCATTATTTTATAATAATGTTAATCTTTGTTTATATTATTATTAAGACTCCAAAGTTATATAATACTACAAGAACTTTTAGATTTTGATGTAATTTTGTATAAAAATATAATTGAATTCATTAAGATGATAAATATTTAATTGTATTAAAATTTATTATTCTCTTATATGAATGATTATATAATTATAATTTCTTTATGAATAAAAGTTATTAAGTTAAATCTATTATGTAATATCATTCTATCATTTTTAATATCTCCATCTACTATTATAAACGAGTCAATTATTGCTTTCATTTAGTTTATTTATAATTTATTTTTTTTATATTGATTTATCATTTTTAGAAAACTTTTGGGAATTAAAATTTTGGAGCAACCTTGAATTAATAGATAAAAGTAGCAAAAACTTAATTTATTTCTTTTCATTATGGATAAACTTATTATTAAAATTTAATGGTTGATTATATTTTTGTTAATAATTATTCTATCTTTATTTTCTTGTTTAATTCTATTCATCATCATTATCATTTTAAATCTCAATTTAATATTCTAAATTGTTCAACTTTGAAATCATCCTAAAAATTTTAACTGGTTTATAAACTTCAAAAATGACTTGTTATTATTTATATTAGCTTCTTCACTTATTTCTTTATTTTATCATATGTTATTTCAGATAGGTTATTATTTTTAATTTTTAACATTTTTATTTAATTATGCAAAGTATTCCAATTCTACTATATAAACAGGTGTTAGAGGTGATCTTGAAATCGTTTTCATATAGAACCTTCAGTGAGTTACTGAATTTATCCTTAAGGTTTATTTAAATTCTTTATTTATTAAAAATTAATGTATTACTAGATAATAATACAAAAAGTAATTTACAAATGATGACAGTTTAATTAGTTTCAATATATTAATTAAATATATATTTTCTAATATCATTTAATATAATAATAATCGAACATTTATGTCTAATTCAACTTCCACTAAAGTTCATCTACCTGCTATTAATCAAAAAAATGTTTCACCAATAAATCAAAATACTACAAGAACCATGAGACCATCTCTCTTTTTAAATTAAATTGAGACCTTTCCTTATTCCCTGAAAACAGAGGGATAAGTAACAGATGGAAATACTGGAAATAAAATTTACACATAATCTGAAAGTGATCCATTTATTGAAATTCCTTATCATTTTAAATTACCTATATTAGTCACAACCAAGCCCAAGAGATACTAGAGATCCTTACCTGAAATTCCAATTCTTCCTCAAGAATCAAGAAATGTTACTCCTGTTGCATTTGAAAGGTCTCATAAACGAACTAAATTATTTTTGAAAAGATAAGATTCAAAAATATTGTCATCAGTATCAAAATTTGAAAGGAAAAAAGTGGAATTTAAGAAATCTTTAATTGTGATAAATATAGAAACTGGTAATTAAGATAAATAAGAAATCTCTGAAACTAAAAAACCTCTAAGAAGAATAGCACATCAAAAGACTAAATCATTTCAAATACGAAATGAATGATTACAATATAAATCTTCAAATCTATCTTATATATTAATTATAATATTAGTGTTTATTCTCAGAACAATCCTAAATCTTATATTCTTTATATATTTTAATTTATTAACAAGGTATATTTTCAAAGCTATTTATTCTTTAACATAATCTAGCAATACTAAAGAATAAGTAGTTTAGTTAATAATATATAAAAGTAATATAATAAATTTCTATTTCATTGTATAAATGAAATATTCAACTTTGAGATTATCAGAACATTAACCTTATATTGTTTCCTCACTTAGACTTGAACATCAAGAGATGCTATCATTAAAAGAAAAGACTATAATTGATTAATTTAAAGAAAATCCTAATCTGCCAAAATAAATTATACAAGAGAATAAACAGAGAAAAGATAGAAGATTATACAATCAATCAAATCCTAGTGAATAACTACCTAAAGTTAAATAGCATTAATATAAGTGCAATACAATTATTTCTGATAGAAATGATAATTATATTTGTAAAACTACTGCTAGCAATTCAGATGACTTAATTTCAAAATACTCAATTATTTAAGTTGATTACAAAAATGGTATCTCATCTGGAAAAAAGATCTCACCTATTAAATTATAGAAACACCTTTGGAAATTGAGTCTCTAAAATTTAATCAAATCTTAACATAGTTATAAGTAGAAGAAAATGGAAGTGTCTATTTTACATCTTTAACCCAGTCATTTTGTTTTAAAATGATTATTGAATTAAAAATACTATTTTTAGTCATATTATTAAATTATTATAAAGCCTTTGATCTGTTAAATCTTATAATCATTCTTTTAAATTAGTTTATAGATTAATTATCTCTTATAATAATACTGTTAATTTAATTAAAATTACATAGGATTATAGTAGACAATTAAATCAATCAAAAATTAATATTAAAATAAAATTATGAATAATGATCATTAAAAATCAAAATTCTTCAAATCTATCATTATTTTCTAAATATTTCTATTTTTTACATCTAAATAATTTAAATTTAACATAATCTTTATGATTAATTGTATAAATATATTTAAAGATAAAGTTTTAGCCTATATTAAAAACAGATTATTATTTCATTGTTATTAATATAATCTAATATGACAATTAATAAATATTATTTTTTTGAGTTGTATGTTATAATTAATTTTTATTTACTTATTTCATGCTGTAAATTCACTTTTTATATCTAAACACAAAAGAAAATAAGAAAAATAATTAAATTCAAAAATTTAGAACTGACAAAACAAATAGTTGAATCTAAATCAAAATAGATTGATATATTATATAGTGGAGAATAATTTTCACATAATTGAAGATTTAATTTAATTAATATTAGGCTAAAAAATCCTCAATTCCTGTATAAGCATTCATCGGTCTTTCTAAAGATTATCAGTTTATATTACCTTGAATATCTAATTTTAATCGAGAAAATGTAAAATAGTTCTTAAAATTCTAATCTCATCTTTACTTTAGAATTGTTTTAATCATCAATTCTTGTTGCAAAATATAATTACTCTCAGTAATTTTTGATTATTTAATTACTAATTATCTGGATGATTCAGGAGATTTTGAGCTTCATAATGCAATATAATATAAAATTGAATAGTATTTGTAAAACAAGCTATCAAACATATGAATTGAAAAATTTAAATCTAAAGTAAGTTAAAAGATATGAGAAAGATAATTATAAATTGGATTATCTAAAAATTGGCTAAAATAATTATTTTATTACATTCAAATTAATATAAAACAAATTTATTATCATATGTTGGATTAAAAATAAAATCTCACATCTTACTAAATTATTTTTTAACCAAACTTTATGAATGAGAAAAAATAATAATAAGATGAATTATCATACAATTCAACTATTTAGGTGATTTTGAAATAATATTTTCTTTTTGTGCTCTAATATTTTTAATATGGTAATTTTATCAATTATTTTATAAGTAACGAAATCAGCATTAAAAAATTGTAAAGGCTCTATCATTATCAAAATATTCACCTTCTTTTTTGAGTTATACTTTGTCTAAGACTGAATTACTATTTTATTGGTTAATTTGTTTTTTTTATTGAAATAAAACTTGATGAGCTTTTTCTACTTTTATGATTAGGCATTACAGATTAATAATTTATTCCAAGTTTATTTCTCTAAATCTTTTTCTAAATTTTGTTATATATTAATGTTAAATGTAAGAATTTATATTAAATAATATATAAAATCATTAATTTATAATATATTAAATTTCTGAATAATTATAAAAAGTTTGATTCTAATTGATATTAATAGCTATATTAATAATATGGTATAAATATCTATAAAATATGAGTAAAAATGAATATAAAACGCTTAATTTTATGAAGCATAAATTATTAATGATAATTAATATTTTTACTATATAGTTTTGTAAATTACACATTCTAATATTCTAAATTTATCAAATGGCTTCTTATTAGATAAATAAAATTAAATAGATATGTTTAGAAAAATATAGTTGCAGTCATTTAATGAAATTCAAAGTTTTATTAAAAGTAATCATAAACAGTAATAAAATAGAAGGCAGAATTATTCAATAAATTAAATCTATTCATGATATAATTCTAATTAGCATATTACAAATTTTCAAAGTCATAATTTATTTTCAGGATTTTACAATTAATTATTATATTAAAAAATTAAACTTAATAAAAAATTGAATATATATAAAAAAAGAAAAAAATTGGAGTAGCCGAGCTTCGCTCTCGGCGCCTCGTGAATGCAAATCACGCGCTCTACTAAATGAGCTACTACCCCTGAGCTGATTAATATAGATGGGTATTTCTAATAAATAGATAAGTATTAGAAAATATAAAAATAAAATCCAGCAAATTTTGTTCTAAAAGATTAATATTTATACTAAGTTGATTTAGAAAAAAGCTTACTACACATTATCCATATTAAAAAGTTAGAAATATTATGATTAAAAATAAATTCTATGAATATATATATATTTAATTGTTAGTCAAACAAAACATTCTTATAAATCAGATTAACTCTGTTTAGCTTGAATGATCTCATTTTGCTCTTTATGTATTTCCCTAGATATAAATTATATATAATTACTCTGGTTAAGAACATTCGCTAAATTATTCAGGATATACTTTGGCACTCTTATATGTTTTAGTTCCTTAAATATACTGTTTAAATTCTAGAATTTGTTTTGCTTGTTCTATTAAATATTCTCTAAGTTTTCGGTATCTTGTTTTAACTCTGACTCTTATTTCTTATCTATTTTAAAGTTCTTTATTGAGGAATCGATATTACATTGTCCAAGGAGCTTTTTGTCTCACTAAATCTCGCACTTTATCTAATTATATTTCTAAATCTCTGCTATATGATTGTAATATTTCTTTGAAAACAAGTAAGAAGAAATAAAAGTTGAGAGTTGCCAAAATTATAAAGTAGGGTATTTAAACTTCTAAAGAGCCATATAATTAATCAACATAGATTCCTATACCAAGGGCAATAGAGATTTCACATACATTAGCTGAATAAGCATCCAATCTATTCAAATTAGGAGANTAAAAATGAATATAAAACGCTTAATTTTATGAAGCATAAATTATTAATGATAATTAATATTTTTACTATATAGTTTTGTAAATTACACATTCTAATATTCTAAATTTATCAAATGGCTTCTTATTAGATAAATAAAATTAAATAGATATGTTTAGAAAAATATAGTTGCAGTCATTTAATGAAATTCAAAGTTTTATTAAAAGTAATCATAAACAGTAATAAAATAGAAGGCAGAATTATTCAATAAATTAAATCTATTCATGATATAATTCTAATTAGCATATTACAAATTTTCAAAGTCATAATTTATTTTCAGGATTTTACAATTAATTATTATATTAAAAAATTAAACTTAATAAAAAATTGAATATATATAAAAAAAGAAAAAAATTGGAGTAGCCGAGCTTCGCTCTCGGCGCCTCGTGAATGCAAATCACGCGCTCTACTAAATGAGCTACTACCCCTGAGCTGATTAATATAGATGGGTATTTCTAATAAATAGATAAGTATTAGAAAATATAAAAATAAAATCCAGCAAATTTTGTTCTAAAAGATTAATATTTATACTAAGTTGATTTAGAAAAAAGCTTACTACACATTATCCATATTAAAAAGTTAGAAATATTATGATTAAAAATAAATTCTATGAATATATATATATTTAATTGTTAGTCAAACAAAACATTCTTATAAATCAGATTAACTCTGTTTAGCTTGAATGATCTCATTTTGCTCTTTATGTATTTCCCTAGATATAAATTATATATAATTACTCTGGTTAAGAACATTCGCTAAATTATTCAGGATATACTTTGGCACTCTTATATGTTTTAGTTCCTTAAATATACTGTTTAAATTCTAGAATTTGTTTTGCTTGTTCTATTAAATATTCTCTAAGTTTTCGGTATCTTGTTTTAACTCTGACTCTTATTTCTTATCTATTTTAAAGTTCTTTATTGAGGAATCGATATTACATTGTCCAAGGAGCTTTTTGTCTCACTAAATCTCGCACTTTATCTAATTATATTTCTAAATCTCTGCTATATGATTGTAATATTTCTTTGAAAACAAGTAAGAAGAAATAAAAGTTGAGAGTTGCCAAAATTATAAAGTAGGGTATTTAAACTTCTAAAGAGCCATATAATTAATCAACATAGATTCCTATACCAAGGGCAATAGAGATTTCACATACATTAGCTGAATAAGCATCCAATCTATTCAAATTAGGAGATTGATATGGTTTAAATTTTGTATTTAGTTCCAAATAGATATAAACAACCAATAGAACAAGAATACCTTTCTTTACAATAGTTTCCTCATAATAAGAGAGAAAAATAATTAATAATTCTTTTTCTACAATTTTAACAATTTCCCAAAAATACACATCTGTTTTATATTCATTATATAGATATCCCCATTATTGTCTAACTTTTTTATCATTAAGGTTTTCTTTATTTATGTACAAAGCATAAAAAAAGAGAAATGGAATAAGAAAGGCTATAATTAATAAGCCTGGTAGACAAAAGGATAAAAGCCACAGAAAATGAGATAAGGTATCATACCTATATGCTACATTAGCTTAAATCCACTTAACATTAGATATATTTCTGAAGGATATTAAGGATATTAATCCACCTACTAAATTTGGTTGAAGATATATATACAAATAAATGAAGGTTGTTGTTATTACACTTACACTATAAATAACTTTTTTTAATTTGATTGCAATCCAGTACAATAAAAAGAAAATAAAGATATAAATGAATGGCATAATCATCTACCAAATCATTCTTGAATAATGGATGTTGAAATAGAACATTTCCATTAAGAAACAATCAAGTGAATATGTCATAGTTTAAATAGGATTTCCAGAAGCATTGATTGCACTTGCAAATCCACTAGGCAAATTCAATTTAAAACTAGTAATAGTAGATAATATTTAAAGATGATTGGTTAACATCTTAATGAGAATTCCAGAATAAGATTCTTGCATTGACATAAAGAATCTAATCTTTTTTACTTATACTTTTAATGCTATATCTTCAAGTAAGGAGACAGTACTCTTTACTGAAATCAAAATTGAAACCAAAGTCCTTGAAAATAATTAAATTTTAATTACCAAATACTAATAGCTGTTATAATTATTGAATTGGTATCTTTTTCAGCACAAGAACTACAAGAATATTTAGTACTTGTTGAGAAGTGACCATCTCCACGTAAATTATAGATGTCACATTCTTCACATAATGCTCCTATATGTCCAATATAACATGATGTATCTCCTTCTTTCCATCCTCCCAAACAATTGCTTAGTAAATTAATACATTAACTAATCTAATCAATATAAAAATAAGGTCTCCAATATCCAGGTCTAAGATTCATTTGAGCTGATTTAATTTCTTTTGTTGATAAATCATCTTTAATAGTACAATTCTGAGAATTGAAACTCACTGAATATTAACCTTATTCAGCATCGCATGGTTAACATGTTAAGTCAGAAATCTTCTTTATTTCACCTATTTAACATGGTAATGTCTTAATATTTAATCTTAAGAAATAGTTATTATGATAACTTATTATTTCTTATTGTTCTCCATATATTGGAATATATATTGAATTACAATAAAATTACATTTATAAAGTCATATTGAGTTCATCATCTAAATAAAATATGATATCATCTAAATTATAATCTGTAGAATTAAAACTTACATTTTTTTAATTTGTAAAATTATCACTAAATACTGTATTTTCATTCTCCTTTAGTAATCTACCATTAATTTCACAATATGTATCATTTAGATTCTCTTGAATTTCATTTTGCTAATCTAATGCTATAATTCTTAAATGTAAATTATATAAATAATATTCTCCTTTCTTCCAATCAAAATATTAATACTTTGAAATTTTCTAACCATTTGGTACATACAAAGCATCTGAATATGTATTCTTAAATACTTGATAAGGTTGTATATCAATTTATTCTATTAATAGATTATTTGTTTCAATAATCTTAATCTTTGGTAAAATATTCTTTAAATCAATTGTTATTGATAATGAAGATGGTAATTAAGCTTGATTATCTCCAAATTTTATGGCATTATTTTCAGTCAAAATAGATCCTAATTTTGTTAAATTTTAAATCATTTAATCAGAAATTGCAAATCCTCCTCCAAATTAAGCTGTGTTATTTTAAATTGTACAATATGCTAAAATGAACAATTTATTTCCAATTACAATCATAGATCCACCAGATTCATGTGCTATATTATGTTGAAAAATAGAAGAAACAATTAAAGTATTGATATTTGATATATAAAGGCAAGTACCTTCATATCCATAATTAAAACTACAAATGTAATCTTATAATTTGAAGTCATATTATTTCTTATTAATGTATTGATTCAAGTTCTCAAGTATACGATTAGAAGAATTTGATTTAATAATTTTTACACAACTTGATTATTCACATACATTATTTTATATGTTTATATTTTACATCTTGAGATTTCCTTCATTATGTTAAAAGTTAATAAATAATAATCCATTTGAGCAATTTAAATGCTAAAATGAAACCTATGAAATGCTTAAACTAGAATTATATAATTTGATATCAATTAAACTAGCATTTTATTTTCTATCTAATTATTTTAACTACTATATTATACATGATAATTAAGAGGACTATTAGTTATCATTAGAATTTAATTATATGGGTGATTATTTGTTGAAAAATTCATTTAAGCATTAAAATTATACTTATTTAATTTAAGATTCTAAATTTGTACATAATAATGAATTAGTTGTTAAGGGGATGTTATTAAAAATAGTGGTATTATGTAATTTTAATTAGTGTATGTAAATTTAAGATTATGTTAGAATTGTATTGATTATAATTAAAGAATTCATTAATTAACATTGTGTTAGCTAAATATATTTTATTTGAGTATTTTTAATATTGTCAAAGAATCCTAATGACTCATAAATTAATTAAGATATTTACAGATACTCTAATGTTATAGTCCAAGCATTAGATATTTTTAGAAGACTTCTTTAAAAAGTTAATGTTTGCATTAAAGTAGAATCAAGTTTATTAAATTTTTAAAAGAATTAGATTTAATTTTACAATTAATTGGCAATTACCAAATGTGAAATTTTAAATGCTTAAATTGAACTAAAAGTTGATGAAAATTCACTATAAATTATAGATCCTTTTAGAGAATAAACATCAGCTATGTTGAGATTGGTTAGATTGATTTAAATATAACTCTCTCCATTCAATAGATAGACTAAACCACCATAATTTCTACATTAGATATTAAATGCTGTAATATTTGAGAGTATAATATTAGATCTAATTGCATATGATGAATCAATATAGATTGCTCCTCCATTCTCATCTGAATCAATAAAGTGAGTGTTAATATGAGAAAATGTAGCATTATTTATAAGTAATGTAGCATCACTTTCTATTTTAATGTAAAGAGCTGGTCCAGATGAATTAGTGATATTTAGATTTTCTATATTAATATTTTAGCCAATTAATTTAATATTTCCAGTAACAACTCTGATTGGGAATATTTATTATATTTATTCAATAAAGATTTCTTCATTTTTATGGAATCCCCACAAAAGATAAGGTTATAATATAGAATATTCAAATATTGAATTTTGAAGGAATATTGATTTTTCAATTGATATAGATTTAGCTTTAATCTATATTACATTATCTGTAGTATTTGTA